AGGAATAAACCTTTGCCCTTTTTACATGTTTTCTTATTAACATTTTTTACCATTTTTATTATATAAAAAATGTCTTTTATTCAACAAAAACACAAATTTAAAATAGTACATACTAAAGAAAATATACCAAAGAAGCTGGGTCTATTTCCTACCAATATTCGATGTGTTATTTGCGGTCCAAGTGGAAGTGGGAAGACGGTTGTAATTTATAACCTAATTGTAAGAAAGGAAGGATTAAAATTTACAAACTTATATTTAATATCCAAATCGTTAGAACAAGAAAAATATAAAAAAATAATTGAAATATTTAGTTTGTGTGATGAAGTGAAATTACACACGTTTACTGACTGTGAAATCACACCAAATGATGTAAAATCACAGTCAGTTGTTGTATTTGATGACATAAATAGTCCAAATATTACACAATTTTTCTCAATGGGTCGACATAAAAATATTAACTGTTTTTACTTGTGTCAATCTTACAGCAAAGTACACAAACATTTACGTGATAATGTAAATTTCCTAATATTATTCAAACAAGATGATTTAAATTTAAAACATGTATATCACAATCATGTTGGTAATGACTTTTCATTTGACCAATTTAAAAATCTCTGTCATCAATGTTGGGATAAAACTAAATATGGCTTTTTCGTAATAGACAAAGAAAGGTCAAAGAATAATGGCAAATATAGATTTATGTTTGACCAATTCTATCAAGAGGATGGTAAGGGTAAATAAATGAAAGATTTTTTTAACATTTGCATTTATTATACATCTACACATTTTGAACATCGATTTTATAATGACCGAACGCAAGAGTATTGATGCCATCTTCTAGAATAAACCTCTTGTCATCGTCAAAGGATAGTACTTTTTTATTCATGGTTAAGGTTTGAAGATGATGATTTATAGATTTAATTCTTGTCACATTCTCATAGTAATCTTGCCCAGTTGCAAGGCAGTTCAAATAATGTTGATGTCTGAGGAGATGTTTAACAGTGGCACCATCAGCTCCTTTAGCTTTCTTCACCTCTAAAGCTTGCTTGTCTTCTTCATATAACCATTTTAGAGGAATGTAAGAATATAACTTTGGTCTTAAACCACAATATTCATACATAATATGACCACCTAATTCATCTTTAAACTTTCCAGTGACTTTTTTATTTTTATCAGAGTATAAGAAATGGTCTTTACTATATCCAGAGGTATCAAAATAGTGTAAGTCACATTCTATTTCCTTGTAAAAGTCCTCTGTAACTATAGCATACATTAATGAATCTGTATCTGTCATTAGAAATCTTTTGTTTTTAAATTTTGACATATAATTATAGTGGAAATCATACATTATTACTTTACTGATATCCAAAATGGTCATTCCTAAATATATTGGTTTATTAAACTTTACAACTAATTTATTTAAATGTATAGCATGTAAATTGTTATCAAACTTTTTGCTACAGTCAAACCTTGGATTAGTGACATATTTTGTTAATAGTGACTCATCCTTGAGATATATATCACGAAACTTGCGTTGATTCATGATTGTTCGACCAAAGAGACTATTATTTAACAATTTATAAAAGTCTTTTTCGAAATCAGTTTTAGCACATTTGCGTTTTTCAATATTAAAATTAATATAGGGCGCAAGCCATTTAGACTGTCTAAATTTTAAAATTCTATGGTATTTTGTTACAATCAAACCCAATTCCTCATATTTTTGTAATGCTTTATAATGTAAAATATATTTAGTTTTGTCATTTAAATTAGGTATTAATTTGCCATTCATTTTCTCTGGTGCTAATGGATAGTCATTATGTAAATCATGTAAGCTTTTATCATATTTTAAATCAACTTCTAAAATGTATCCAAACTCATCATTTTGATTATATTTGTAGTCTATCTCATTAGTCCAACTGAATCCATCCACAGGCAGTGGCTCGCACATTGCTGTAGAGTATAGTGAGTTACAATCTAAATATATTAAATAGACACTCTCTTGATTGGGATCATAGTGTTCACCCATATATCTATTATTTGCTTTAGCGTAACGTGTAGAAATCATACTGACTCCTCCTCTGATCGCACTTTCTATGAACAAATGCATGTCAACATCTTTGAATATTTGTAATTTTATTCCTGTCATTCTAAGACAGGCCTCCCATGTAAGTCCAGGAAGTGAATACATATGTACAGGGTCAAGTTTGTAATCTTTTAAACACAGGTCTCTAAATGTCTCAAACACATCAGCCAGTAGCAATACATCTGTTTTAAGATATAAATCATGATATTCTTGTAAATTATGTATATTAAAATGGGTCCATACATTTTTAGCATGTTCATATTCATTGGGAGAGATATGTTCTTTAGTTATAGAACTGTAAAATGTTTCAATTGGGGGTAGAGACTCTGCGAACTTATCTGGTCCCGTCATATATTCATAGGGATATACACCTTTACGTTGTAGTAGTGGATTTTGTATGAATCTAAATGTGTTCAAATTGGAAGCCAATTTATATAATGGAAGGGACAGAAAGTTGTATGAATCTAAAAATACTAAATCATCAACAGAGAATGATATATATTTTTCCATATCTTTAGCTATACAATTAATTTTACGATAATTAAATTTTCCCAAATGTTGCATTATTATGTGACCATCATAATTTTTCAAGTTATGGAAGAATACTGGTATTTTCTTTGTTACTTTATAGTTTAAATTACAATCATTGTGGGCAGCTCCACGGTATTGTCCAGAGGAATGGCAATGATCTCTCACCCTATCAAAATATAGGGGCTTTTCACAAATGTGACAATGTGTTGAGTTTTGGAAAGATACCTCTTGCTCAGGGGTCATTTGAAGAGGAATATATATTGCCATTTGATTTTTAATATAATCATAAGTCTGAAATAATCTTTCAAAAAACACATCCATAACATTTTTGCCACTGTACAACTCTTCAGAAATAATTTTTGAATCTTTTACTACGACAAATGCAAATCCCGATGGAATATGTATATTAGAGTTTATAAAGCATTCAAAATCTGCATAAATTACATATGGGGCTTTAAGTTGATATTTATAATTTTTAAATTGTATTGTATCTTGTTTAGACATTTCCACTCGTTGAGCATCAAAGTTTTTACAATATGTTGTGTGACGTTCTAATATATCATTAGTGTAAAAATGTTGCAAACACAACTTGCAAAAATACTTCTTATTGTTATCTTTTGTAGACCGTAGCATTAACCTATCAAAATCACGAATTAAACAGTAATGTGATTTACGGCCTTCTTGCAATAATAATAAATCTACATGAGTATTACTAGAATTTAGTTTAGTTGTTCTTAATGGATGTATAAATTTATCATATTCAACCCCAAATACATTAATACTTATATCATTCTGTGTTTCAAATTTATCTATATCAGATATTTTTACTGGATATATTATATTTGACATATTTAACTGACTTTCATAGGGTACATAATTAGAAACCCTTTCAGCATTGTTTACATACCTTGGATGTAAAGCTGCTAAAATCGACCAAAGAAAGCATTTATTATCATAATTCTTTATATTTAAAACAGCATGTTTTGATTGAATACTTTTTGGTGTGGGGATATATGATTTTGGAGTTAGGGGTTTATACTTGTAAACGTGCAACTGCCAATATTTAGTATGGTCATATATCCATCCACTGCCTTGGGCTTGATATTTGTGTATTGAAGCGTCAATCTTTAAAAGTGCATTTTCAATTTGAGGCTTTAAATCTCTCTTCCCAATAGTTAAGGTAGTAAGACTTCGAAAATCTGCTATACATTCTTTTTCATTAACTAATTTACCATTTTGATCCATTGAATATTTTATAAATTTGATTCTCCTAACTAAAGTCCATTTTATCGGTAGAGGACAAGACTTCAGAGTATTTTCAAGGTCAGTTCTAATCGATTCACCAACAAATTTAATCATTGTGTATGGACATTTCATGCAAGAATTAACATGTCTTTTAAAATGTCCAACAATATTCGTTTTACAGAAATTACAACTCTTGTGACTTTGTAATATATGCGATTTTAGAGCAATGTTACTATCACAGATTAAATTACAAACTTTGCACACATTCATTTGATGAATTACCTTGTAGTGACGAATCATATTACTTTTGGTGGTGAGCGACACGGAGCAGTGTTGACAGGTGGGCCTCATTTTTATATATAACAAAAAAAAATTTGTGTCACTTCTATTTATAGACTTTTCGAAAATTTCAAAATTTTGGAAATTTTAAAAATTTTCAGCTAGAAATTAAAAATTTGTAAAAATTACTTCAACAGATCCAAGACTAGCAAGGAGCAAGCCCAAGTGAGTGACGTTTTCACCACGTCACCACTAGAGGCAAGAAACAACCAACACAACCATGAGTCAGGAGCGCGCCCACGCCATGAGCCGAATTCGCACATACATGATTTTGAAATAGAAATATAATATATCAACTGGAAAGGGGAATGGTAGATGTACTAGCAATTGTGCATGGGGTAGCGGTGAGGGGGGAGGGGGGGGGGGAGTTGGCCCAAAAACCTCGATGCGCAAAAAACGGCGGCGACAAACTATACTAACAATATTAAACAACTCATACGTCTAATATATAGATAAGATAAGACAGAAATATAATACATCAACTAGAAAGGGGAATGGTAGATGTACTAGCAATTAGGCATGGGCAGAGAGTTGGCCCAAAAACCTCGTGCCACAAAAAACGGCGGCGACAACCTATACTACTTCTACCCTTTTAGTTAATCACAAGTTTAGCAGTGTTATGCTCAACATAATCAAAGACCCCACGAACCAAAGCTAGCAAAAAAGTAATATTACGTATACTAACCGACATATTTTTATATATATACTTGACTCCTGATATTAATTTTTAACCCTGTTTACTGTTGGCTAACCTGAGTATAAATTATAACAGGTGACTGCAGACTGTTCTGTCATTGGTCAATTGTTTTGACTGAACAGTGAACAGGATTTCCAGCTAAAGCTAAAGTTGAGATTACGTGGAGTTTCTTTTTGAGTTTTATGTTGTTATGTGGTGAAAAGCTGAGTAAGTTTTAATTAATTTAGGTTTCTATAATAATAATAATAGAGTAATTAGTGTAATACGCACCTTTTCATTTATGAATGTTATATTGATCCTTATCAGCCACAATGTTTCATTTGTTGATTTAGTTAGTCTAGGTAGAACATCAGGCCACTCAGACCTTCCAAGGCTGAATCATAGGAATTTATCAATTATTATATTCCTCTCTTACGACGGATAATAGTATGGGTTCTAATTACTTTTGAAGTATAGGTTCTAAATTACTTTTTTACAATATCCGCCCTAACTCCCAGTAGGCTAACCTTTCTATACAAAACATCCTGAGGGTAGACTTCGTATCTGTTGGCATACAAGCAACTGAATGAAAATATCGATCGATATATTGATTATTCGATATATCATTTGGTTAGTTAGGTAAGGTTAACCTAACCTAACTAAACAAACGATATATCGAATGAAACAATAGAATTTAATTTATATTTTCATTCGGTTGTTTGTGCCAACAGATAGGCCTACTTACGGAAGTCTACAATCAGGATGTTTTGATGGCACTATTCTTACTGTAGTGCTTAGTGCCGCCCCCTTCAGACATCTGGCTTAGTATATTTTGACATAAAACTTAGGACCAAAAATGAGGTTTTTCCGGCTCGAGCTCGTTTTTTTTTAAGTTCAAGGCGAAGTTCTAGAGCTACAAAACCCTTTCGGGCCAAGATACGAACTCCATTTTTCATCACACTATACAAAATGGAGAGTCTTAAGTTGACATTTTCACGCAATAAATGCACATTAACAGATAACACAACTTCAACTTTAAGGTTGCCGTTAGGTGAAGAAATATTTAGAGGAACCAGTAAAAATACTAATAAATAGTTAAATAGTTTCGGCATTACAATGCCATCGTTAGACTACAAAATCTCGGCTGAAGTAGCGCCGTTGAAGTTAAAACCCATAACAGACACAAACAATATGAATACATTTAAACAATTTACAAAAACGATCAGGCCTGTCGTACTCTTTTTGAGTCGGGGTTTTGCTGGGAGCGGGAACATGTCAACCGTTGCAGTTAGTACGACAGGCCGGATCGTTTTTGAAAATTGTTTAAATGTAGGCCCATTCATATTGTTTGTGTGTGTTAGGTTTATGTGCTTTAACTTCAACGACGCTACTTCAGCCGAGATTTTGTAGTCTAACGATGGCATTGTAATGCCGAAACGGCCGTAACATAGTTACACCAATATTTGAGCTGCATTGACGAAGTTAAAGCCTATTTTAGTTATTATAGGTACAGCTCAGGGGCCAAAATATGGATTTCAATAAATAGTTGCTAGGCAGAGGTGACATTAAAATGCATAGGCTATGGATATTGCTTGTGAAGCTATTTTATATACACAAGAGGTTGTCCAGTGGTCGAAAACTCGCACAAAAATTATACACACTTCGCTATTTTCACCCCAAGCTGTAATTAAAACATGTCATTGGAATTTCTTCCTTTGTTTTGATTTCAGTCGTTTTTTTTTTCGTAGGTCGTAGCTGATGTGTAGATGTTCCAATGACTGCTCGCAGACGCCGTGTTGGCTCCGAGTCAGAGCAGGTGCCTTTGGTAGTGTCTACAACTAGTGAATGGACTAATCCTCCGCACCTGTCCTATGATGGCCCAGAGCATACAGACCGCCAAAATAGATTAGGATCCAGTAAACCTTCAGGTAAACTTAGTGTTTAGTTTGAATTTCCGATCATAGCAGTTATCAGCCCTAGGCCTAAGTTACAATTTTTTTAAACACAGAAACTCTACATAGTCTTTTGAGGAAGAGGGCCTTCACTATTCAAATTTGCCCTTTGCAAATAAAAGAAGGCCTAATGTGAATGAGGAGGTAAGTAAGGTAATGAATAATAATTTAGGGTAGGCCTACCAGTCAGGTTTTCAAATTTTTTAAACTTTAACTTACCTATTAAACCTTGGTTCACTTTTGTACTTAATTGTTTCAGACAAGACAGAATTCCTAAAGATGACTTCACGAGATAGAACGCTAGAGTTCAGCAATGCTATTCGCTCGCTAGCCAGCCGACAGGTTGTGCGGGCTGTGGCGGCTCGTGACCCACGGCGAGCGAAACACATCCAGAGCTATGGGGAGTTCATGGTCATCGCCCGTACCATTGGCAAAAACATCACAAGCACCTACACCAAACTGGAGAAACTAACACTGTGTGAGTTTATTGAACTTTTTGTTGAATATAGGCTAGTTAGTTGTGTCTTCTCACGATATACACTTTCTTATTTCGAACGGTTGTAAAAACAGTTCAAGAACTGAAATGGTGGCGATTATTTGTGCTTACAAACAATACTGTCACCAAAATTACCAGGCCTAAACTTATCACAGTTAACTTAACTTACGAAGTATTGGGACAAATTTCAACTGTCTTTCCATACATTTAGGCCTTTTTAATTTGAAAATGAGTGTTAATTAGCCTAATGGGTAAATAAATGGACAGCAGGTTGTCTTTAGGCTTCCAAATAATGAAGGATATTATTGTGCAAATGTTATTGAGTGATATGCTTACTGAGTTTTTTGAGACTCTAAGTGGTTTGATTTACTCTACAAAAGACACTTGCCAGTCAAGCACCTTTGGAATATTGACTATGCTGGGTGCCATAATACTAAGCGCCGTTTGATATATATCATTTAAATAATTAGTATGAGTTAGAATCATAACAGAATCAATAGTTCTGTTTAAAAAGGCACTTTAATGTCCTATTCAGTGGAAATTAGTTGGAAAAAATACCTAAAAAATTCTGGATCAACTTATCAGATACCTACCGCAATTTTACAGAGTTTTGCTGAATTTGTACAATTTTTGTTGTTGACGAATTTTACCTATTCAGCCAGTTGTGAATTAAACAAGACTATTGACAAAGGCCTGTCGGTATCTAGCTTAAATCTATCATTCGATAACTCCTAAACATAAAACGTAGGTAGCCTATTGTTTTCTAAATTTCTTTGACCTAATTAAAATGGGTAGCCTACAAAACCATACCCAAAATACAGATAGGCATAGCTGCTGTTTTTATGATTCAAACTGTCTAAGTTGATCTATGCTAATTTTACAGCATTATATTGATCATAATTAGCATATAAGGTTACCCCACTGAATAGGCTTATTGAACTCGTTTAAGTGGTAACTGATATAATTTCCAACCAAGGCCTATTGAACTCGTTAAAGTGGTAACTGATATAATTTGCAACCATACCATCTTTTCAACATAATTAAGGAACGCGGCAGCGTTCCGCCCCGCCAAGTCCCCCAGCGGTACATAAATATTAGATAACCAAACTAACATAGCAATAATATTTAACAAATAAAAAGTTTAATCTTTTCACTCGCACCTAGTGGCCAAGCGGAAGTCGCTGTTTAACGATAGACCGGCTGAGATACAAGAGCTGACGTACATCGTCAAGGAAGATCTGAACAGTTTGAACCAACAGATAGCTCGGCTACAAGAGGTGTCTAAAGCTCAGAGACAGTCGGTGACCACGGGTACGCGACAGCATCTACTGTCCCACTCATCCAGTGTGGTGTTGGCGTTGCAGTCAAAGCTGGCCAACATGTCCAACGAGTTCAAACAGGTGCTGGAGGTGCGGACAGAGGTGAGAACTAAATAATATCATTGACTATGTGTAGAACTAGACATCCCGTTATTGAGTTGATGCCGGATTCGGACTGAAAATTTACGTATTGTAGTTTAAAAGAGCCAACAACATGCAGTAAATTACTGGTACTGACTTATGTTCAAAAACGCCAACTTTTTGTAACAAAAAACGCCAAAAAGGACATCGTAGCAGTTTTTAATTTATTTGCCAGTAGGCCTATGTCTATAAAAAGTGTTAATTTAATTGCTTTGTATGTGAATGTTAGACCTTCCTTTAGACCATTGAAACAAAATTTAACTACTTGAACTTCTAAACAGCCTTTAGGAACTTCCTTTCCACAGTTTGGATGAACTTTTTGAAGAGTGCAATAGGCCTAGAGTATTTTTTTAATGTTTTAAGGTTTATCTAATCGATTGCAATTTGTACATTATTTCAAATACTTTTAAAAGTTTAGGTTAGTCTTTCTTTTGAGCCATACTCTTTGCCCTTATGAAATTATTTACCTGCCTGCTAAAAATACATTTGTTATTATAGGCCTAGTTAACAACTAAGTGCCCTGCCAAGTAATTATCTTGAACGGTTTAATGTCATCCATCCTGCTGTTGTCCTAGTTATAGTTTCGAGGAAAAGCAGCTCATGATAATGAGTTTTAAAAGTCTTTTGTAACACATGTTAGCCTGTTAACGGTTTGATGACATCAACTGAGTAGCCTGTTTGCTGTTGTAGAACCTGAAGCAGGCCAAGTCACGGAGGGAACAGTTCTCCCAGGGTGGAGTGTCTGCGTCGCTGCCGCCCTCGGCCATGAGCGGCCCACACCACGGCTCTGTGCTGCTGGCCGACGAACAGCAACAGCAGACCAGCATAGACATGGGCGGCCATGACGGAACTGTAGCCACCAGAAGTGTGCTACAGACACAGGCGTTCATGTATGACGAGACGGTCAGTATCATGCAATGCCTAATTTATTGTAATTTTGTTTAACTACAGCTGCTCATCAGCTTGTTTATCATGCTGCCCATCACCTAACTGGCCTTTGACTACTGGCCAGTAAGGTTATCTAAAGAAAAGACATTAAGTAGTTTTACGGTATGATTCACTTTGTCAAGTCAGAGGTGCGATAAGATAATACCCAGACTCCAGCAACCTCTGGCTTATAAAACGCTACCATGTGACAGTGAATTTCAAATTTCCCGCGAGATAAGTAAATCTCAGATCTGTCGTGGAGTACGTCAGACGCCACCATCATATAGCTACCCCCCACCACGACCTTGAGAGGGGAAGGAGCTCTAGGAGGTGACCAGAGGACATTCAGTGCCGTACCGTCAAGCTATCGAGTTTTAATTTTCAAATATGGTGTAAGTGAGTGTCGTGTCGCTGATTACCGAGCGGGGCATATTTCCAAATGGGTAAGTGTCACTCCAAAAGTCAAAAGTTGTTAACTCTTTAACAATCTCAGATTTTCAAAGTTTGTCTCGATTTTAATTTCCCAGTATTGAGTTCATAAAGGATCGAACGTTCTCACTCTCGGTTAGAGGCAAATGTCTCTCACCTCGAGACGCTAAATCCATTTTGAAATTTTACACCATATAATCGAGCGGAGGCATATGTCTCGTCGGTTCGATTATAAAAGGCCCTCTTAACTTCAAGTAATAAATAATTTTGGTTGAGTTTTTGTGAAGTGAAAAGTTAGTAGAATTTTATTTCGGGGTGTACCATTTTGTTGTTCTGCAGGTTAAGGGAGGATAAAGTATAATTTTATTTTCAGAGAGTGTTATTGTATCATGTATTCCTCAATTTGAAGTTCCCTTTAGGATTGCGATTCAATATTAGTGGTATTCTAATAACTCGCGAAGTGTGTAATTTATTAAGTTGTATGTTGTGTTCCGTGTGGGGTAATTATCTCGCATGGCGACACATTTACAGAGAGTGTTATTTTATCGTTTATTCTTCAATTTAAAGTCCCTTTTTGAACTGTGATCTTATTATTGTATTTTAAAGTCCTACGAAGAGTGTAGATAAAGTGTTACGTTACGCGTAATATTTCGTGTGGGGTATATATCTCGCATAGTGATATTACCGTACGTTTGAGAATAGCTGTCTGAGCAAAATTATCTTCATAGGCGTTTAGTCGTAAGTTTGAGCTAATTTGCCTCAATATTTTGATTCGAAGTGCGGTGGTATTTTGAATGTTTTTTTTTACGTGTTAATCCGCGTGAGGCACTTGTCTCGCGCGTCCGTAATACATCCAATGTAATTAAACCCACCCTCAGATTATTTCACCTATCAAGTCTTACGGGGCACTTGTCTCGTGCGACACAATTTGTAAATATCATTTTATAGAATATCGGGAGGGGCACCTGTCTCTTCACGAAATCCAGTTTATTGTCCATCCTGTAAATGTACCGATTCATTATGTGTCCGTTATCTTGAGATATCGCATTACATGTACTAAAGTGCTACGATTCGCCCATGAGGTGTGAAGTGTGTAGTGTAGATTTGGCGCGAGAAAGGAGCACATTTCGACAAACTGTAAACCGGTGTGATTGAATATCGTTTAAAACGCATTTCAATGTATGTATTGCCGCAGTTGTAATGTTCATGTACTAAATATCGATTAATTACTATATGTGGGTAATATTTTCACCTTCTGAGATATCTCCTTGCCACCAGGCAAATTTTAGTGTTACTATAAGGGTCGAACCTCCTCTGTGGGTTTATCCGAGGCAAATATAATTTATTTTGTATTGTGGGAATATTTGACACATTAATAACGTTTACTAATACTGTATGTTATTCCCATTGCAACCAATCCAGCGCTACCACCGTGCTCGGTAATTTCCAAAAGAGGATGAATATCTTAATTTAATGTTTAATGACCAATAGGATAAACTTCTCAGTTAAGACAGGGTACTCGGCCAGTGAAGACAGGGCAATTGTTGGGACAGTTTGGCGAGTAAACCCTATAAGCATGTCTTTCTGAACACGTAAAAGAGGGATCTAAAGTTTTTTTTTTTATTATTTGTTCATTACAAAACATTAAGATCATATAATATTCCTAGTTATTAAATCAAACAATTGTGTTTGTCCCTAATTAATTTCCCCCACCCAACTTACTGTAAGTAACTTATTAGTCTAACTGTATCCTTTTCCAATATAGTCCATACAAGTAAATTTGCTTTGTCACACATTAAATAGATGATCTAGTAGGTTTATAGTTGTAATATTTTAGTGTAATACCAGCAAGTCGTATTGAATCATACTTCTGTTCACAGACTAACATAAACTTAAAAAAATGTCTTCTATTTTTTAGGATCAGTATTTATCAAACAGAGCTGAAACCATGCAGAACATAGAATCTACTATTGTAGAACTCGGTGGCATTTTTCAACAGCTGGCTCACATGGTAAAGGAACAGGAGGAGATGGTTGAACGGTGAGTCTTTTTTAAACCATTCTAATAAACTCGTGCAAAAAGGCAAGTCAACTAAAACATTTTGAATAATGTTAACCATCCCCTTTAAGAAAGGAGCTGGATTTTATTTTATGTAATTTAACATTTTGAAATGGGTCAACTGGTACCTCAATAACATGGTCTTAGGGTCTAAACAAGTAACATTACTTAATATGATTTGTACAGAGAAGTAAGGTACAAAGGAAACTCGCTTATCGAATGACCATGAGCTTTCAGCTCTAGTTTGTTGTGCCGGACATACTTATGATGAGCAAAGAGCCTGAGTGGCAAGTACTGTGCGGAAATTCCTATGGCACAGGGGTTTTCCTCCACCGTGAGCATTGTAGTGCATGAGGTTCAGGGGTTCAGTGTTGGACTTTGACCCCTAGACAACAGCGACTATTGCTAGACACCACTTGAGTGATTCCTCTCTACCTTACTTCTGTGTGGGTTTGCTGATGTTTTGGCCTTGTTGCAGATAGCCAACTTTAAAGCAATAACAGAACACTACAACTCCACTAAAAGTGCACTCAGTATTAGTGCTCCATTGGATCACTAAGTGCTATTATTGGAGTAGTAATGCTCTAAAGATTGCCATCTACAATGCTCTGAAATGTCAACAGACTATGTTGGTGATGTGACACAGTTTTTACCATGAAGATCGCAATAGCGTCATGAATATTTCTAACCGTATCTTCTCTATTTCTAACCTTTTTGGAATTAATTGTATCCCATTGAGTTTGTTAACAATATTTTATAAATTAAAAATCCCAAGTAGTTTTTTATACACAATTGTTTCCATACCTAGGAGAAACAATAATTTGTTTTGCTTCTAAAAATCCAGTTATTAAAAATTATGTGGTTGGATTAGGTAATCCTTTTATTTTATCAATATCGTATTATTTCTTGCCGATAACTATAACTTATGTTTGCAGGATCGATGCCAATGTAGCAGATGCGGAATTGAATGTAGAAGCAGCTCACAGTGAAATCCTCAAATATTTCCAATCGGTAACCAACAATAGGTGGCTCATGATTAAAGTTTTTGCAGTCCTAATATTCTTCTTTGTATTTTTCGTGGTGTTTTTGGCATAGCCCTTGCCTTGGCCTATCAAGGACATTCCGGTTTCGGCTAAACTAAACGGTGTACAATTTCCAAGTGTAATATAGACCAATATAAAATGTTTTATAATATTTGTTGATATTTATATACAGTTATTAAGAATTATTTTGAGTATCATAAATACATTGTAAGTAAATTTTATTTAATTGCTTTATTTTCCTTTTCACTGTAAATAATTTTGATAAACTATATTAGTTTTGTGGAATACGGAAAGTTGGTAAGATGTATTGTGTAGTTTTTTACTGAAATAAGTAATACAAAGTTAAGATAAAATAAAACTTTATGTATAAAACTTTTACAGCTACAACACAACATCTAGGATTATGAAGAACATATATTATTTTTGCATCGCTCATATTCAGATCACTTTTATTGACTAGATTGGGTTAAATTCTGCTACGGGATGGTTGTTTCTTTCTCCGATGTTTGTGTGTTGGATCTAACCTCGAATTCTCTTTCTGCTCTTAATCGCATTATCAGCATTTTTGGATCAATCACATCCTGTAAACAAATGCAAAAACTTTACTCATATATTGTTCTAAACCAAACACTAAAGGATTAATTTAATTTGTGAAGTTAATGATAGATAGATAGATAGATATGTATACTACTGTGTAAACAGTTAAGGTATTTAAAACAGTCAGTCTAAACAATCAACTGAAGAATGCAATGTTGAGTCTTCAAAGCTGTTTAAATTTTTGCAACTGTTTCAACAAACAAAGTATGATAATGATACCCAATGGTACTGTAATTATGTCAATACCCATTGGCAAAATGTGTCAATGATTGCCAACGCAACACATTACCACAAATAGTTTGATCAAACCTACCTTTATAGGCTGAAGTGTAGTAGCTTCCTCGTTTGACAATGAAGGCAGAATATGTTCTAACTGCTCTCTTTTACGACTAAGTCTGATTTCTTCTTGAGCAATATCAAGTTTGATCTGAAATTTACATATTTTATTAAGATTCATGAACTTTAAAGTGATCGATTCTTATAACTAAAATTGAACAATGGAAACAACTGTTTATTCCATTGTTCCTATCAACATTGTTAACAACATTGTGTGTTAAAATTTTTACATTGAAACAAGGGTATATATTTGAAAACCTAAATCTAGATCAAATATCATTCCTCCCCCATACCGAAAAAATGTTTTCGTCTACGTGTTTATTGAGATAAAGGTAGTACACAATCAAATTCCATTTTTAATTTCCAATCAAATATTGCTATTACCAACCTTCATCAAATTCTTCTCTTTCTCTCTTAATTCTGTTTTCCTTCTTTCTACTTCTTGAAGCTTTTCTTCAGCCCTTTTCTCCAGTAGTTTTGCTTCCTCCAATGCTTGTTGGCCTTGTTGTTGATTTGCTTCTGACAACTGAATAATGGATTTACCAAAGGTATACAAATCAACTCTACACACACAATTAAATTGCACTCCTGCCCTCAAAATACCCCCGCCGCAGCAAACCTGCAGACTAAGCGGATTTCCATTTCCCTGAATGGATTTACACTAAAATGTCTCCTTAAAAATATCACATTTATTCCCTATTTAAATAGAATCAGTTTAAAACATACTTAGGTTTGCTGCAACAGGGAGGGTAAAAGTGTTTTTTTATGTAAAATGTTAATAGTTTGTAAGAAATAAAAACATTTTCCAAATTTGGGCAAAATATGTTTATAAACAAACAAACTACAACAGTTGGTTTGCATACTTTCAGATATGCTGACAAAACTATTCCTTCGCAAATACAGTATCTGACAGTTTCAAGCCAAAACTAATGCTTCGCAATTAAATGTCACCCGGATCTTGTTGGTCCATATGTTATATCCAATGACTAAATAAACGGTATCAGCATTCTGACACATACTTTCTCCCATAAGTTTGTCAACAACCTTTATCATGTATAAGCGGTGAGAGTAAATATACGGAAATGGGATTTGTACAATTTTGTTCAGAATTTAAAGGACTATAACATAATGGTTAAAAGTATTTAAGGTACTACCTCAACCTCTTAATTTAACACTTTATTCGGGTTGACATTTTCATTATCAAGGCGCTCTTGTCCTTTCCGTGAAACATTGAGAAACAAGGACATTAATGCGTTACCATCATACATACACACAAAAATACCGAACTTAATTAGGGAATCTGCTACGCTTTAAGCATAAAAAGGTACATATAAAATTAGTACTTGAAATCTTTGTTAATGCCTTTAAGTTTGATCATAACAATTTATATTTGCTTGGACCGGAGATGACTCGAAATTCTGTTGAAATGCTATCTGAATCGGTTTGCTATATGAAATGAAGTACAGTAGGCCTACTATAGACGATTTAGATTGGTAATTTGTAATAAAAATTACCAAAATAGGCCACAAACTATTGATACATAAACAACGTTCAAAGTGTTTGAACAATTCATGATGGTTTGCTGAATAAATGTTTTACTAAAATGCGTTATAGTTTTCTTAGCATAACATTTTGGAATCCAGACAGAAAAAGCAAAAATTATACAGTTAAGACATCAATTAAATTGAACAGGCCTACGCCTGTAATAAATAAGGTACAACACCAACGGTAACTAATTTGTAAATTACTGTGATGTGTTGGTACGTAAAAATGATTCTTGCTGCTACTAAAGGTTAAAAGGAAAAGAACCAGTACCGTACCAAAAACCAACGTTTACAGTTAAGAACTGTAGTACAGCCGACCAATTATATGCGTTAATCAAGGTTATTGATCTCTTGGTTTTGGATTTTCTCGTAAAAAGTTAACGGCAATCAAAGTTATTTCCCATTAATTGCTTTATTTGTACACAACTCTTAATGTAAACTTATCGGTGTCAGTTTGAAAAAAAAACCTTATACAACATAACTTTCTGTTATTTAATAGATTACGTATTCTCTAAACAATGGTTGCTGGTATATATATTAACATTATAAGGAAATGTGACAAAAATCACACAACGTTGGGTTTTTGGACGTTTATAATTTTATTTCTTAAGTACCTGGGTAGGCCGTGTATTCTATGGAAAAGTACCGGTATCAAGGATCGTTGTCGAAAGGGTTGTTATAAATAATTGGGTAAGCATACGTACCACACGTACCCAAGAGAAGGGCTATGGGCCTATTGGCTGTAAAGTACATGTGCTACAAACATCTAAGAAACAACACGGCACTGAATAACTTATTATTTCAGAATGATTTTTTTTAGGCATGTGTGGAAGGCAAGTCGGGCTTATGCGGATTCGTGACTGTATTAAGTGTTTTGAAGTTAGGTTAGATTAGGAAGGTAAAGTGTAGGTTATAGTAAACTGAGTTGATAATTTATATTACGCACAGGCAGTTGTTGTGCAATTAAAATAGTGTGTTAAGCACAATGAAATTTCGATTTCAAAAATGCTGCAAGCATGTTGCATGCATGTTGGGCTCGGCGCTCGGCTCGTCGGACTTGGCGAGCCCGAACACGAGCATGCTCGCCCGTCTGTGGGGACGACCATATGTTCGAGAGCATGTTCGCGAGCATGCTCGTCCGTCTCTTGGGAATGTGAATTCAAATTGTGTTGTGCGGTGTGCCTGTTGTGTGGACTCTCTGGACTCTGGCTGGACTGGTTACTGGTGGAGGTGGACACGAGACCTTACCGTCAGACCGCCACTGCCCACCACCGCGCCGTGCAGAACGCATCATACCGTGCATAGCCGAACTGTTCATGGGAAATTGTTATCTTTATCACTGTCGCTGTCAAAACGTGTCGTTTGTAGGTTAAATTAAATTTAAATTAATTTAACTGTCATAACCCAACCAAACTTGCTGATAATGAATATTTCGAATGAAGTACTAATAACAAAAATTGTTCTGTTTATAAAATAAAATTATAAATGTCTCAAAATCAATTCTATAATTTTTTAATTATAAAATTACACTATCATAACCTAACCAAACCAACCAAACTTGCTGATATTGATACAAATTCGAGTCAAAAAGTTAATGCCTCCGGTGGGTTTCGAATCGGCTACCTCCAAATTAACTGTCATAACCCAACCAAACTTGCTGATAATGAATATTTCGAATGAAGTACTAATAACAAAAATTGTTCTGTTTATAAAATAAAATTATAAATGTCTCAAAATCAATTCTATAATTTTTTAATTATAAAATTACACTATCATAACCTAACCAAACCAACCAAACTTGCTGATATTGATACAAATTCGAGTCAAAAAGTTAATGCCTCCGGTGGGTTTCGAATCGGCTACCTCCAAATTATCAGCCCGGTCACCCAGTGCGCTAGACATAAGACATAAGATCATATTTATTTCCTGTATCCTCGCTATCCACTACACCATCGAGACATACAAACGGCTGTCCAGTGTATCGTTGCGGTAATGGTGTTCGCTCGAGCAGTGGTGGGTGGTGGCGGTCTGTCGGCAAGGGTTAATGAGGTGGACTGCGGTGCGGTGCGGTTAGTGAGTGAGTGGTAGTGGGGATGAAACGGAACGGAAGTCGGAACTCGCAGTCAGTCGCAATAGTCGCAATTCGCAATCGCAGTTCCAGGCGGCGCCCGGCGGCACAATTTTTATTTCAGCTGCAGTTTTTAATACGGGCAAAATGAGAGTTTAAAAATTATAAATTAAAAAAATATTATAAAACTAAAAAAAATATAAAATTAGTTTTTTTAATTATAAAATTAAACTGTCATAACCTAACCTAACTAACCAAACTTGCTGATAATGATAAAATTGAATGAAGGTTCACTAATCGAAAAAATAGTTATGTTCATGAATAAAAACTATAAATGCCTCAAATTCAGTTTTATAATTTTATAATTATAAAATTAAGCTGTTATAACCTAACCAAAATTGCTGATAATAAAAAAATTGAATGAATGTTTACTAATCGAAAAAAAAGGTCTGTTCATAAAATAAAACTATAAATAGCTCAAATTAAATTCTATAAGGTTTTAATTATAAAATTAAACTGTCATAACCTAACAAAACTGACCAAACTTGCTGATAATGCAAAAATCTTAGACAAAAAGTTTATGCCATCGATGGGATTCGAACCTGGTACCATCAGATTTTTAGCCCGGCACGCTATCCACTAGACCACCGAGACCAATGGCTCCTAGCCGTATCGT